CCACTATCACTTCCGCCCCGCAAGCCAAAGTCCTTGGCGTCATTCTTGACGCGAACCTCTCCCTCCAACCGCATGTCAAATCACTCACAAACACATGCAGGCTCCATCTTCGCAACATTGCCAAGATCCGCTCCTTCCTCACCCCAGACACCACCAAACTTCTAGTACACTCCCTCATCATCTCACGCCTTGACTACTGCAACTCCCTCCTCACTGGCCTACCCAAGTGCAGGCTCTCCCCGCTCCAGACCATCCTGAACTCAGCTGCCAGACTCATCCACCTTTACACCGCTCCACCTCTGCCACCCCCCTCTGCCTCTCCCTCACACTGGCTCCCGATTGCCCAACGCATCAAATTTAAACTCCTTACCCTGACCTACAAAGCCGTTCACAAACACTGCCCCTGACTACCTCACCAATCTGATCACCAGGTACCACCCTACCCGTACCCTTCGCTCCTCACACAGACCTCCTTCTATCCTGCTCCCCATGGTCTCCTCCTCCCATGCACGACTGCAGGAACTTCTCCAGGTCCTCCCCCATCCTCTGGAACTCACTTGCCCCAATCCATCAGACTGTCGCCTTCTCTATTCACATTCAGGCGCTCCCTCAAAACCCATCTCTTCAGGGAAGCCTACCCCACCCTCACCTAACGGCCATCCTCCCTCATTCCTCCTACCACTTCATCCCCCCAGCACTTCCTACTGTACCTTTACCCCCTCCCTACCTAGATTGTAAGCTCGTAAGAGTAGGGCCCTCTTACCCCTCGTACGCTGTCTGTCTTTGTTGTACTGTGCCATGTATTGTCCCCCCCCTATTGTACAGCGCTGAGCAAACCCTTGGCGCTATATAAACTCGTAGTAATAATAATAATAATAACCATGTCTATGGTCAGCATTCGAAAAGTCACAAAGAAGCGATTCCGGGTTTGCTGATGTGGGTTTTCCTTTTTTTTGTCTTCTAAAAAGTCAGTGGAGATGTGTAGTTTCGTGTTAAACATCTTACAATTGTTCTACTTACACAGCTTCGTTGTTTAACAGCCAGTAACATTTGGTGGTTGCATATCTTTAATTAACCGTATACAAACCAGATGTGGCTATTGTGAAATACCTTTTTTTGAGAGTTATCATTAATAGTCGAGCTGGATGTAGAAAGGGCTGGAAGACACTCCACCCCCCCATATACCTCCCTCTCACTACGCTCCCAGCTATGCACTTCAAAAGAAGCTCATTTATCCTGCTCGGTCTATAAGGAGGGGACTGGCTCAGAAATAAATGGTGACAGTATGACACTAGATTCGGAGACCCTCCAGCCGCCACAGAGGCCCACAAGCCCCCGCTAAATGATGGATCATAATTAATCTTTAACTGCAAAGAAGAAGGGGGAGATGTAGAGGAAAAAGACACAAAGGAAAACCGTACATGTGAGCTGGGAGGGGGAAGAATTCCATGGGTAGGTGTCTGGGGATGGAGGGTGGCCAGGCAATCAAGAACAGCAGTCTTTGAAAATTGTCAGCTTTGTGGGTCAATTATAAAAAAAAAAAAATGGTGTAAAAAAAAAAAAAATGCACATAAAACTGTGTTCTCATTGAGCACATCAGGAACTGTACGCCTAATTTAACCAGATAAATGTCAGCTTGTCGGATACAGAGATCTGGGGCTGCACACAGCAGGGTTTGTCTATAGAGAGATTGCCTTGTTCCTTACCCGACGTGTTTATTATGGCAACTCTAAACAGTTGACTTCTTCCTTCTACTGAAAGCTGCCCGTTCTCACCGACAGGAGGCCTGATATTATCCACTGTTCACACGCATAGTTTGCAGCCATTTACATCCATTTAGGTACACACCAGCACCTCCCACGCTTACAATATATATAATCGTAAGTATAAAGAAAAAAAAAAAATTAAGTGCATTACATGATGGTTTAGCCATTCACGTTAACTAAAGCTGGCCATAGACACTACGAGGCAATCGGACATTCGGGAACAATCTGATCATCTTTGAGCATCTAGGCTGGCCAGCATCTTAAGTGAGCCGTTTTCTAACTTGTCCAGTTGTTGTTCCTCCCAATATACCTTGTCCTGCAGGTAGCTCATTGATGGATGGTGGATGGAGCTTTCCTTCGTGCAGCGCAGGAAACAGGGAATAAAACACATACATATGAGAAGCCCCGACTTTAGAATACATTGCTGTGGCCAATAGACTTGCGCACGAACTAAGTACTGGTCATCATCTACGTCTATGTCTGAGTCGGCCACTATACCCAGCACGAAGCAAATATGACAGGCCTATACTCCTGCAACGTCCGTTGTGGCCTATAGACTTGCGCACGCAATAAGTACTGGTCATCATCTACGCCTATGTCTGAGTTGGCTACTGTACCCAGCACAATGCAAATATGACAGGCCTATACTCCTGCATAGTCCGTTGTGGCCTATAGATTTGCACACACATTACGTACTGGTCATCAACTACGCCTATGTCTGAGTCGGCCACTGTACCCAGCACGATGCACAATGCAAATATGACAGGCCTATACTCCTGCATAGTCCGTTGTGGCCTATAGACTTGCGCACACACTAAGTATTGGTCATAATCTACGCCTATGTCTGAGTTGGCCACTGTACCCAGCACAATGCAAATATGACAGGCCTATACTCCTGCATAGTCCGTTGTGGCCTACAGACTTGTGTATCGAACTGAATATTGGTCATCATTTCTGCACAGCACAATGCACTGTGCAAATATGACAGGCCTGGACTACTACATACATCACCTATATACTGCATACTGGTTCATATAAAACAATTTCCACATCAAGAAAAGAATTTAAAGCACCACACCATGGCCAAGAGGTCCAGATCCAACTTTATTCCAATAAAAGTCAGGGGCAGCATCCAAAGAGCATCCAATGCATTTCAGGGGTCCAAAAATACCCCCTTCATCGGGGCTTAATTGAAGACAATGTGAATAGGCCGGAAGTAAGCTGGATGTTTAACCGCTTGCTTATACCCCCTTCCTGCCCAGGACAATTTTCAGCTTTCAGTGCTGTTGCACTTTGAATGACAATTGCGCGGTCATGCAACACTGCACCCATATGACATTTTTTTATAATTTTTTTTTTACACAAATAGAGCTTTCTTTTAATGGTATGTATTCGCCTCTGGGCGTTTTATTTTTTGCGCTATAAACAAAAAAAAGAGCAAAAAAGTTGAAAAAAAAAAAGTTTTTCTTTGTTTCTATTATAAAATTTTACAAACAGGTAATTTTTCTCCTTCACTGATGTGCGTTGATGAGGCTGCACTGATAAGCAGCACTGATCAGCACTGACAGGCAGCACTGACGGGCACTGATGAGCTGGCACTGATATGCAACAATGATGAGCACTGATAGGCGGCACTGACTGACGGCACTGCTGGGCACTGGTGGGTGGCACTGCTGGGCACAGGTGGGTGGCACTGCTGGGCACTGATCATCAGGGCACTGATCATCAATGCCCTGATGATCGGTGCCGATCCATCCTCTGACAATTGCCGATTATCGGCAGTACTTTCCTCACACTGACAGCGGAGAAAAGTGCAGCCAATAACCAGCAACTGCATTTATCGGTGATCTGCTGTGTCACTGGACGCGGCTAATAATGTGGTAAAAGGCCGCTGTGATTGGCCTTTTACCACATCACGTGATCAGCTGTGTCCATAGGACACAGTAATCACGGAGATCACAGAGTGCACGCTCCCAGGGGCGCATGGGAGGGCACGTTCTGGGAGGGTGTCATATGAAGTCCTCCCAGAACTGACAGGCCGCAGTGAAGCCGACATTCGGCTATCTGCGGTCGGTAAGTGGTTAATAATTTTCCTTCCAGTGTGATTACAAGCACAGGCCTTGTCATCAGCTGGTGTCAACACATTCACATTGTGTTCAATCGCTCCCTGATGAAGGGGCTGTTTTTGGACTCCCAAAACATGCTGGATACTCCTTGGATTGTCCCCCTGACTTTTATTGGAATAAAGTTGTATCTAGACCTTTAACCTCCCTAGCGATCTGATTATGTCCGTATTTCTGTGCTTAAAGCGGTACATTTTTTTGCATGGAAATATGTATTTTTTTTTATTGTAACGTTTTACTATGTGATTTTAGTGAATTTAGTGAATGTCACTTTTTATCATTTTCAAATTTCCCGCCGGTTTCGGCCCCGTACGTCCTGACGCTCGCAGGGGACGGAACCCAGATGACAGATGCCAGCATCCGCTGGAGGACATTACAGGGGACACTGCAGGAGGGACATCGCGGAGCGCAGGACAAGGTGAGAGAAGAACAGATCCCAGAGCAACACTGCAAGGTATTCCCGAGTGTAGTTCGGGGTTACTGCTTGTACTGAAACTTTACCCCGAGCTACACTCGGGAATACCGCCAGGGAGGCTAATCAGTGGTGTGGCACATAAATTTCCACTTTTCTTACAATAAACTACAAGCCAAGGAGGCAGTAGAGATCCTCAGGGGTGCAGAAGCATCTGTATTCCCCTCTACCAAAGACACTGGTTGAGATGTAGGGTATATAGTGAAATATAGAATGACAGTAAATTCTGGCACAGAAATCGCAAGATGTCAGTATGCAATGCGGTGATTAATGGCAGAGTTCACCTTTTACATAAACTAGACAATGCAGACAAGGGGCCTCAGCAGTTTAAAACACACTTTGTTGTTTATAAAAATATAGTTTAATAAAAATGCCAAACCTGTAGGTCTTTTTTGCCATTGATTAACCACCTCCCGCCCGCCATATAGTAATATGATGGGCACAAGGTGGTTCTCTCGTTCTGGGAGGAAGTCATATGACGTCCTCCCATTCTCACTATGCATGCGCGGCTCAGGGAGCACGCAGCGTGGCGATCGGCAGTGCGCTGTGCCCCTCGGACACAGCAGATTACCGATCACGGAAAGAGCCAAACATGTCGGCTCGGTCATGTGATCAGCTGTGTCCAATCACAGCTGATCACATGTAAACAACAAAATGCCGGTTATCGGCATTTCTCTCCTCTCGAGATGTAACGCTGACAGAGGAGAGCCGGTAATCAGCTTTCTGCAGAGGGGACATGTACACTGATCATCAGGGCACTGATGATCAGTGTGCCCTGATGACCAGTGTAGCCCCAGCAGTGCCACCTGTCAGTGTCCATCAGTGCCTCATGTCAGTGCTCATCAGTGCCTCGTGCCAGTGCCACATATCAGTGCCTACCAGTGCACATCAATGCCACATATCAGTGCCCATCTGAGCTGCCTTTCAGTGTCACCCATCAATGCCAATCAGTGCCACCTATCAGTGCTGCCAATCAGTGCCACCTATCAGTGCCAGTCAGTGCCGCATATCAGTGCCGCCTAACAGTGCCAGTCAGTGCCATATATCAGTGCCCATCAGTGATGCCTGTCAATGCCTATCAGTGCCTCCTCTTCAGTGCCACCTATCAGTGTCCATCAGTGCAGCCTATCAGTGCCCATCAGTGCAGCCTCATTAGCGCCCATCAGTGCAGCCTCATTAGCGCCCATCAGTGCAGCCTCATTAGCGCACATCAGTGAAGGAGAAAAATCACTTACAAAATTTTATAACAAAAACTAAGAAAAAAATTTTTTTTTTTTCAAAATGTTCAGTGGTTTTTGGTTTAAGAAAAAATAAAACCCAGAGGTGATTAAATACCACCAAAATAAAGTTCTGACACAAAAAAAAATGATAAAAATTTCATATGGGTACAGTGTTGCATGACCGCGCAATTGTCATTCAAAGTGTGACAGCGCTGAAAACTGGAAATTAGCCTGGGCAGGAAGGGGGTATAAGTGCCCGGTAGGAAAGTGGTTAAACCTTCCAAAACTCTCCCAATGTTTACATTCATACATCTGGAATTATTTCCAGCACATAGGCTATGACAAAACGGTATCCGAGCCTCCTACTTTGAAGACAACTACAGTGACAATCTCTTTAGTTGGTTGAAGGAAGGAGCCTCAGTGGCCATGTTTTGTAGCTCATGTCCTGAGAATAAGCCAGGATGTAGGAATGTAAACACTGGAGTATGTCAGCAAGGCCTTTTTACATGGTGGATTGTATTATATATTGTAAATTCGCATCAGTCCCTGCCGTCAAGGACTTACAATCTAAGGTCCCTATCTCATATGCAATCATACACATACTAGGGCCAATTCAGATAAGAGCCAGTTAACCTACCAGCATATCATGAAGTGTGGGAAGAAACCAGAGTACGTAGCGGAAACCCACACAAGAAGAGGACCTGCACACTCCAAACAGATAGCCAACCACTAAGCCACTGTGCTGCCTATTAGGACAGATTAGTGTTAGGGTTACTGGGCAAGTTAGTGTTAAGGTTAAAAACGGAGGGCTAGTGTGAGGTGGGCCTTCCAGTAGAACATTATTCTCAGCCCCATGAGCTCCGCCCAAAATAAAAACAACCATCACTAATGTCCCACAACTTTAGCAGGATTGTCAAACAGGATTGAGAAATGTATCTAGCCACCGAGTCATCTGCACTACATGCAAGGGATACAAAAGAAAGTCTGCTAACTTATCTAATAATTAATCCATAAATCAGTTTGTGGCTCAGAGAAACTACTACTACATGCAGGTTCCCAAGTTAGGAATGCAAACAGGTTCCCAGGTTAGGGGCGTAGCCGGGTTCCCAGGTTAGGAACGTAAAACAGGCTCCCAGGTTAGCGACGCAGCCGGGTTCCCGGGTTAGCGACGCAGCCGGGTTCCCGGGTTAGCGACGCAGCCGGGTTCCCGGGTTAGGGACGCAGCCGGGTTCCCGGGTTAGGGACGCAGCCGGGCTCCCGGGTCAGCGACGCAGCCAGGCTCCCGGGTCAGCGACGCAGCCAGGCTCCCGGGTCAGCGACGCAGCCAGGCTCCCGGGTCAGCGACGCAGCCAGGCTCCCAGGTCAGCGACGCAGCCAGGCTCCCAGGTCAGCGACGCAGCCAGGCTCCCAGGTCAGCGACGCAGCCAGGCTCCCAGGTCAGCGACGCAGCCAGGCTCCCAGGTCAGCGACGCAGCCAGGCTCCCAGGTCAGCGACGCAGCCAGGTTCCCAGGTTAGCGACGCAGCCAGGTTCCCAGGTTAGCGACGCAGCCAGGTTCCCAGGTTAGGGACGCAGCCAGGTTCCCAGGTTAGCGACGCAGCCAGGTTCCCAGGTTAGCGACGCAGCCAGGTTCCCAGGTTAGCGACGCAGCCAGGTTCCCAGGTTAGCGACGCAGCCAGGTTCCCAGGTAAGGAATGTAGCCAGGTTCTCAAGTTAGAAACAAACAGGTCCCCAGGTTAGAAAAATACACAGGATCCCAGGTTAGGTATATAAGGCAATGGGTTTCTCTTGTTATATAATGTTTGCATATCTCACCACACAGGGTACAATATATTAAAAAAAAAAAAAACATTCAACTAATTTAACCACTTGACCCCTATACCTACTGACTTTTTTGTACAGATGCAATTTTAGCAGCTTGTCCAGTCTAGATGTAATGTGTGTGTGGTCCGCTTAGTAACATACATAAGAGACACTTAAACATCTGTATGAAGGAGGGCATGAGATCCTTCAGCAGAAAGAGCTACAGGCTGTGCAGAGTTCCCCTTTCCTTCTCCACCCCTCCTGTTCTCCTTTTACTGATATATCAAAGGCTTGCTTCACCTACAAGGCTGCTCTTTCTCTTTCCACTACTTCAAAGATGCTCAAATGTGCGGAAAACCCGTCAAATGTTTCTAAGCAGCTCAATGCTCTGGAGGAACACTGCATCTCATTTGTATTACTTAACGCAAACTTGCAGGACAGGGAGCACAAAACAGGGCACGGCGCACAGGCTTTAGGGTAAATCGCTTTTGTTTGACGGATGAAAGTAAACATTATTAAATAAAGAGCGTTTGTACAAATACACCTTTCTCCTAAAAACAGAGAACAACCATCTCATTACCAGTGACACCCAGGAAAATAGCTACGATACATAAACATACCTACGGTTCCAAAAGTAGAGCTTGCAGATTGGAAGGACGTCTTGTTCCTTTTAAATTCCAACTCCAGGAATTACAACAAAATAACCCCTGTAGTAGCGGGGGTCCTCCTGTACTGCGTGGGTTAAATGTTCTTTGACTTTAGGGAATGAGGAATAAGGTGTCATACTTACCTTACTTCTTGCTCCAGCACACTCTCCTGCTTTTTACTTTCTTGCGTTTTATATTTTAATATAACTTACATATATAAATAAAACTCCTTGCAATGGTTCTAACCCTTTTTAAAACAGGGGTCTCCAAACAATTCCCTAAGGGCCACATCTGGCCCTCTACAAAATTGTACCTGGCACACGGCAACTCTGATGTGAAGGGAGCCTTCTGATGGGAAAGAGGGGATTCTGATGTGATGAGGGGAGCATTTGATGTAAAAGAGTGACTATTATCTAATGGGGGGCTTCTGATGTAAAAGGGGTACTTTGACGGGATGAGGGGAGTTTCCAATGTAAAAAAGTGACTATGATCTAATGGGGGCTTCAGATGTAAAAAAGGGGTACTTTGACGGGATGAGGGGAGTTTCCAATGTAAAAGAGTGACTATGATCTAATGGGGGGCTTCTGATGTAAAAGGGGTACCTTGATGGGATGAGGGGAGCTTCCCATGTAAAAGAGTGACTATGATCTAATGGGGGGGCTTCTGATGTAAAAGGGGTACCCTGATGGGATGAGGGGAGCTTCCCATGTAAAAGAGTGACTATGATGTGATGGGGGGATCTTCCGCTGTAAACGGGTGACTATGATCTAATGGGGGGATTCTGATATAAAAGAGGTACTCCGATGTGATGGTTAGATTGTGATGTGAAAAGGGTATTCTGCTATGATGGGGGGAGCTTCTGATATAAAAGGGGGGCTCTCATGTGAAGGCAGGAATTCTGATGTGAAAGGGATACTTAGTTGTGACGAGAGGGCTTCTGATGTAAAAGGGCGACTCTGATGGGATGAGCGGCGCTTCCCATGTAAAAGAGTGACTATGATGTGATGCGGGAATCTTCTGATGTAAAAAGGTGACTATGATGTTAATGGGGGGGCTTCTCATGTAAAAGGGGTACTCTAGTGTGATGGTTGGATTGTGATGTGAAAGGTGTATTCTGCTGTGATGCGGGGGAGCTTCTGATATAAAAGGGGGCTCTCATGTGACGGCAGGAATTCTGATGATGTGAAAGGGATACTTAGTTGTGATGGGGGGCTTCTGATGTGACGAGGGGGATTCTGATATGAAAGGGGCTCTGATGTCATGGGGGGGGTTGTGATATGAAAGGGGTACCCTGCTGTGATGGGAGAGCTTCTGATGTAAAAGGGGAATTCAGATGTGATGGGGAAATTATGAAGTGAAAGGGGGACTCAGATGTAATGGGGTGGCGATTCTGATATGAAAGGGGGACTCAGATAAGATGGTGGGATACTGATGTAAAAGAGGGACTCTGATGTGATGGGGGCGCTTCTGATATAAAAGGGACGATTGGATTTGATACTAGGATTGTGATGCGAAAGGGGTACTATGCTGTGATGGGGAGCTTCTGATGTAAAAGGGGAACTCAGATGTGATGTGGGGGGGGGGGGATCTGATGTGAAAGGGGGACTCTGATTGATAGCGGGATTGTGATGTGAAAGGGGTACTCTGCTGTAATGGGGGAGCTTCTGATGTAAAAGGAGAACTCAGATGTGATGGGGGGGGGATCTGATGTGAAAGGGGGGCTCTGATAGGGAGATTCTGATGTGAAAAGGGGACTCTGATGTGATGGAGGATTGTGATTTAAAATGGTGACTCTGATGTAATGGGGGTCTTCTGATGAAAAGGAATTTCTTGGAACATGTTTATTCATTCATTAGCAAAAAAAAAAGTCTGCAAGTACTGTGTTTGTGAAACGTACAATGTGGTCCTAGTACTGAAACCACTGGAGACCCAGCTTTAGCACTATCCAAACATTTGGCTGGAGTTCCATTTGATGAATATTTGTAACGAATGAACACGTGTAGTACAACTGAAGGTAACCCTGGCTGTCATCTACATCCTCCAGCATCACTACATCTATTGTGAGGCACTGGCAGGGAAAATGCTCTCTCTTACGGTAATCACAGGGGTTGTCACAATGTATGGGAAAATTATGATAACAAGCACTTCTGGCCTGCTGGAAGTTCTCCCCTACGTGGCCTGAAACAGTTACAAATATCAGGCCATGCGAGGCTGCCATTACTGTGATTTACAGCAGCCCTCAAGGGACATTGTTCTATAGGAAACAATATAGGAGAGACCAGAGAAATAACATTTAGCAATTACATACCAATCCATGTTTTTTCTATGAAAAAAGCCAAGTGCTGCCCAAAACTTAAAATGTTCCCGGAAAAATATCTCC